GCATCAATTTGAGCCCACACAGTGCACATTGTTTCAAATTGACTGATTCCTTTTCAGCGACTGATTAAACAAGAGTGTAATGATTCCCTCAGAAAGCTGATACTGCACTAGACATGATTGTTTCTCTCTTGTAGGTACTTTGCAGGTCACTTTAATCCACATGAAAATAACGCAGGTTGAAAGACTGTGTCAGAACTTTCTCTGTAAATCCAGGTTTGGGTGAGGCATTTGATCCTTGTGGTCAGATGTAGACTATTACACAAAATTGTCTCTTCTAAGGGTTTAGCCATGTTAGAATGTTGTTACCTACTCAAAAACATACTTGGAGTTGTGTTTTGTTTGATTCATACGCTTGAATAACCCCTTGCTAATCTGTCTTCGTCTCCAAAGCTTAAAATACTCAGTTCCACCTTGTAATGTCATGAAGCAGTAGTTTTCAAATTAACAGTTACCTTTTACCTGTTATTCAGCAGAGATAGACAATTTCAGTGATGAAATCATCCAGATGATTCAAATGAAGGTGTATGGAGTTTAAAAAGACAGTGGAACACTTCCTGACTGACTTCCTGTATTGTAACATGACATCACAAGGTAGGTTTGTGTGTTAAACGTGTGTGAATGAAACAAACACAACTCCTGGTATATTTTGAGTAAACAACATTATAACATACTGCGTAACGTTGGCCCTTTAAATCTCAGAATGCACAAATAAAACACATCTTTCATTTTACATTTGGCTACAGCAGGTGGGCCAATTCATTAGTATATTTGCTGATGACAAGCTACTGCAGAATTGAAAAGCAAATTTGTTTACTTTTGTACAAAGAAGGATTTTCAGGGTCAACACAGTTCGTCTCCTCAAAGCTAATTGTGTGCCGCTCCATGGACTAAAATAAAAGCACTAGGCAAGCTTGAGAAAAAGGGATTTACAACAAAGAACATAGTAACCTTTCAAGTTTAATGAATACTATTTTGGTTCTGATCCTTTAAGATGGTTTTGAAGTAACTTTATTATTCTCCACTGCTAAGATAACTTTGAATTATATGTATTACAAAGACAATGCAAAGCTAAGCTAAAGCCCTGTGCATTTGCCGTACTTGCAATTAGACTTTTTCTCAACTAGAGAAATGACCTATACTAATTCTGATACCACAGTTATGATTTAACAATATTACGCAAACTGACTTTTGTGAGCTTTAAGCCATGTTTTAATGCTTTTACCTCATCAAAAACATACATGGAGTTATGTTTTGTTTCATTCACACATGTTTGGTTACCTATTTTTAGTCTAGCTATATCTCCAAAGCTCAAAGCTACCTTTTACCTTTTGTTCAGTAGAGATTGGCAATTTCAGGTCTGAAATCATCCAAATGATTCTAGTGGAGGTGTATGGAGTTTAAAAAGTCTTGTATAGTAGTTCTGTCACAAATAAAGAATATTCAACAACTATAGAACTCCAACTTCCTCTTATATATAGCATATATTCTCAGTACTGATACTTGTTTAAATGAGTACCTTCTTTTGATACTAGTCCCAGTATTGATTAATGTCTGGGTATCGATTCTTTTGACAACCCTTTACAGTGTGCAGAGTAAATGCATAGACTCTTTCATTGCAGATTCATTGTACTTGAAATTCCACAGCTATTGTGTTTTGTTTTGCGATCATGAATTATTCTCTGGCATTCGATCTTGACATAATCTATGGACATAATTTTGGCTGGCTATCCTCCCTACTGTTCTTTTGGCTTCCCACCATGCACACAAACAGAATATCTCCACTACAGACCGCCCATGCTGAGCTGTGAGTTAGAATGCACCCTAGTGTATGACGCCCTATCAAACATGCATGGTCTTGTTCCGCTTCTCCTTGTTCATCGATAGCTATTGACTGCTTCTAAAATAGCCATCCAAAGTCACCCCAAGTGAAATGTAACCTCTGGGTTTTGTTATTTGTGGCAGTGCGGCGATGAGAGGCACGGTGCAGCGATTGACGTGCCATTTCTCATTAAGAACTACAACAGCTACGGGACTTTTCTGCCATTAGAGCAAATCATGAGTGTGTATGGGGGGATGGAAGGACAGACCAGTGTGTAACCGATAAGGCGGTGAGATAGGAAGGAAGACAGGAAGTGCCGAGATAAAGACAAAGAAGAGAGAGTGTCGAGCTTTTGGTGGCACGGGCTTCTTTTCCTGCTTTGAGGCCTGCTACTGTCACGTTAAGATCACCCATTTGGGGATCAGAGTCAGGCCTTTGATGTTCTTTGTGAATATGCAAACAGCTGCATATAGAGTGTCCCTTTGACAATTGCCATCGCTACAGAAATATCTTTTTGTATTGTTGAGTGCGCTGGCCTGGTTCGTACCACACTATCATCAGACAGTGCCTGCGCATAACTGCTGAATAATTTAATTCACCTGTTCATATTTCATCACAGAATCAAATGCAAATTTATTACCGAGTGTTGTTATAAAACTAGTAGAGAGTTCTGTTTTTCATTACAATGCCACAGAAGCCTGAGATTTTGCATTACATTTTCATCATCTTCATTGTTCCTTCTTCGTACAAGCCCAGATCTCACTTGAACCATTCTATCTCTATCTTCAAAACATCTACTAACTTCACTTGGCTATCCAATATACTAATTCCTTATTCAGTTCTTAGCAGTGCTCAGTTACTATGCCTCCTGTCTGACCGGTGAGGGTAGAAAGGTCCCTACTTACTTAGTAGATCTGTAACACTCACACAGGGAGATAATTAATAATGCATAAAACTGTAATAAATAAATACATAAATAAAATACATATTGCAACTAATTTCTTCATATTGAATAACTCATCCAATGCAAGAGGAGTTATCTAAATGACTCAAATAATCTCACTTGAGCCATTCTTATGTCTATCAAAACATCTAACTTGACCTGTCTAGCCGATATACTAATTCCTTATTCAATTCTTGGCACTGCTCAGTTACTATAGCTCCTGTCTTTTCCTTTAGTGTCTCAGTCCATTCAGTATAGACAGCACTGACTGCATCTCGTATTGATCATGTCATTCATGCCAAGAACAGGCCATTTATATCCAGAAGTTATTACTAAAACATATTCCTTGTCTTTTAATTGACCTCATTACCGACCATGGCCGAAGGCACCGCAGTGGGAATAATTGTCTGTCTGGCTATTTCAAAGGTGCCTATTAAAAATATAATGGGCTTATTATACTTCCGCGCTCAATAAAAAGCATTGATCAGACATTGAATGAGAGCTGGAGCCAATGACAAATGACGTACAGTAAGTGGATGCCTTTCCTTTCCCTTGAGTAGAACTGGTGTCAAACAGACCAGCTGGAACCAAGATTTTGGAGTTACATTACACAATTTCTATGCAAATATCCATTGTTAACTGGGATTGGTTTACGTCTTTCCAGAGCATACAAATCAATTTACTTGGACATAAACTCATAGAAAGCTATTTAGTTTGAGGTACTGAGACAACATACAAAATCATGTCACAAACCCTTGATTTCTATATGCAGTGCATTTTTAATAAACAAAATAATTAAGCATTGCAGGTTTTGGTCATGGTTCCCCGTTTACTATGGCATATTGTCTGTATTCTTTGTGTTTTGTATTGGTCATAGCACTTTCTATTGTAACGCTGTCCCAAAATCAAGTGCTGGAATTAAAGGGAGTGAAAGAAGAAGCCATTTGGTCCTTGAATGGGCTGTGTAACCTCACATACAATCACAGGGCTTTGTGTGCGATGAAAGCCCTACACTGTGAGTCATACACCACTTTGACAGAGTTTGACGAGCCTGCTGCTTTTGGGCTGTAATTAGGATACATTTACATTATGAAGAGAAATGTGTATTTTTCAATAACATGAGAGAACTGTGAGAGCTAGCAGCAACCCACATGCCCTTGTACTTACTTAGGAAGAAAAAGTCAAAAGACTCTACTGAAAATGGTTGGTTTTGAATCAACAACACTTGAAAAAAAAACAAAACAAAAAAAACAGACTTTGTCAAATTCAGGTACATCGTGACACCACAATATACAAAGACATGTAATACTAGTATGAAGACGTTACTGAGGGCAGATTACAAAAGCAATGGGGCGTTCGCTTATTAACTTTCCAATTAGCAATTTATAGCGAAGAGCAAATCTGTGCATAGTTGAAACGAAAACAGGCTTGAAAACTGAACTTAAAAATTATGAACGTTGGTTGAAAATAAATATAATGACTTTACAAGGTGTGTCCAGGAAGTAATGACATTTTAAGAAGTCTTTGATTGTGAAAATTGTGTCTTTCTAAATATGCACCTTTTGAATGTTCACAACCATCCAGGCGATTTTTCCACTCTTCAAAGCATCTCTGGAGGTCTTCAAGTGAGGAAGCGTTATGCTCACTTTCTGGACACACCTTGTATATAGAAGTCGCCCTGAGGTACAGGTCCTGCTGCTGGGCTAGGCTCCTCACTGCATGCATTAAAAGGCATATTGGCACATTGCAATATACATTTATATGGATAATATGGATATATTAGATTAGTCATGCCCATTGTGTAGCAAAGGAGTGTGAGATATACTGTATATAGATGAGCAATCTGGCCCCAAACTTTGTTCAAAATAAATGAACTATTTTTTTGAAGGTTAGGAAAATAAAAAATAGAGCGGAAATAGAGTGTTATTTTGATTTTGATGTGTGAAAAAAACTGCATGCAACAGATTTAAACAAGCTGACAACAGTAAAATGTGTTGTAAAACTACATACTGGTGCTCCTTCATCTTGTAACCTAGATCCTCTGAAGTGACAAGAAACATTTTCGTCTCCCAAGATGATCACACCTAATTTGCGCTTTTCCCTTTACAATGTTTTTAAATTACAATCCAATTTCCCATCTAAATCTCATTAAAACTTTATATTTGATCCAGATGATACACGCCAACATTGTTCACCACATTTTGGTCACAAGCAGAAAAGCAAATAGACTGGACTTACGAGCGAGAGACACGCTGGCGTTGGCTGTCCCCATCTTGTTGGTGGCGACGCATGTGTAGTTGCCGTAGCGATCTTCTGTCATGTTAGTCACTGTCAGCACTGATCTGGAGCTGACACTCCTGATGTCAATGCCCTGGCCCTTGATAATCCTGGAAGCACAGAAACATTACACTGAATGGAGATGATCTTTTAAACACATAACACATAAAATTAACTAACTTCATTAAAACCTCAGAAGATTTTTGTTAATGAACCTTTTAATATGTTTGAGCCAAAAAGAATAACTTAAAAGTGCAAAAGGTCAATAATAGTTTGAGGGCTGAACACTATGAGGATTTTTAATATTGTTTTAACTAGAAAACATTGTGAAATTGTATCCAGTACTCTATGTACATTTTCAACAAATCCATTTATATAGACATTAGTGAGAATACTGAATTGCATAGTTGATAAACTAATACAAGACTCCTATGTATTTCAGACGTAAACTGTATAAAAATGGAATAAGTGGAGTGTGTTGTCACCCATAGCGGTTGGCTCCAGTCAAATGAAGCTCATGAGGCCGGCAGTTATAGGATCTAATTTGGAGCAGGGGTAACTCCAGTTAGAGAGAGGAGAGACAATTTTTCATCAATCAAGTAGAGTCGAGGCTTGATTCTCACTTCTTATTTGGAACGCGGCGGCTAGCGGGTTATACTAGGCTATGATTTCAGAACATGATGTCTGATGCTTGTTGATGTCTAAACTAAGGGATTTTATACGTAATAAGACTCTATGTACCCTGTATTTTATTCTTTGCATATTATAAAAGCAGCCTTTACATTTCAGATTATAATTCAAATGTGATTGCCCCAGGTTAAAACAGAGTTGATCACATATGTCCATCACTTCATCCCCATCTTTAACACATCTTGTCTCGCCTTGTTCAATGCATCGCAGCTGTGGAGGGGTGCTCTGGAGGAGGCTGGGGTGACCTGCGGGTGTCACAGCTGGGTGCCACTTGACACACTCATCTTTTTGTTGCAGGTGCTGGGATCAGAAAACCTCCCACTCCAGTTGTACGTGGCATCTGTGCAGTCACGATGACAAATGCTTCCTTGTTTACTCGGGGAGATGATGATATTTAACAGGCTTTCAGGTCTGTCTATTGTTTTTTCCGTTGTTAATGCCTGACTGTCAAATACCAACGTGTAGAGTAGAGTGATGCTATTTCTTGGTCAGTTTCGCAGTTGGCACTAGCTTTTAACTCTAGCGAAAGGATACGGTTGTGTGGCGGCTCCACTTGTGCCCTTTGTAAACTGCGGTCTGGCTGGACTGAGTGAGAAGCGCTCCCAGTTGACGCAGTGTGACCTTGTGTGCAGGAAAAAATGCTGTTTCTATTTGAGAACTCCAACACATTTGAACAAAGCACTTACTCTATACTTTGCCAAAAGCCCCATAGACATTTGTATTTGTTAACAAGGAGTTAAATCTGCACCTGGTTTATACAGCAACAAAACTTTTATTAAAATTTTATGCCTGCGGAAGTTTAAAGGTGCACTACGTAACTTTTAAGGCGGAGGGTCCACTATTTGCTTGTCTCCATGGAGATGCTATTTCTTTGCCTAGAATGCTCCACAGTAGGGGATTAAACATATCTCCCTTGCATTTGTTCAATTACAGGTGTTTTATTCCTCAAAAACACCTTAACAATTCTTTATGTCCAGGCTTGCTTCTCCATTGATCTGACCATTAAACTGTCTCATTGTGACAGACAATCACCACCAGAAAGTTACAGAGTGCCCCTTTAAAAAGCAATATTAAGATGTAAAAGTCAAAATATGATTCAAAAATAAAAAGAAAAATAACTCAACACCCACTCATGTCTACTCAGTCATCAAAGCTTTGTCATCTTTGCAAAGGTTTACTTGTCAAAACTGTCTCTCAGCTTCTGATAAAGGCAAGCTGGCAGCGGTTCTGTGCTGATATGAATTCAAAAGCCTTAATTTTTATTCCCCAAAACGAATGGGAACGTATATACAGATGTGTCTGTCTGTGCTACATTGAACCTACACGTCTGGAGTGCTCGTATTAATGGGCTTTTCATGATGAGGCATAAATGAAGAAATCACATTTTAGTCATGCAAGAAGTCACAAAAAGCCCAAGTCCTCGAATTAAGTAAAGACTAGAATCATGGCAACTTGCCTCCTTAGCAATTGGAATAAATTGAATCCAACCCATAATTACAATTAGCACAGTGTGAGCTCATGATTGAAATTGTGCTCGCCAGGAGTGGCTAAATGACGAGTAATGGGGGTAATTTGGTTTTTAAATTCAAGGAGTGACACTTGAATGTTGCCTGATTGATGTATGTGCAGCGAATGATTTAAGGGCGTCACAGGCAAACAGTATATTAGGATGCAAGGTGAGCATGCAGCACAAGCGCTTGTTACATCCGCGTGGCGTCTTCTCCCCAGGCGGCCCGCTTATGGGAAAACAAACTAATCACATGTCTTCCCCTGACTAATATCTGCCTTAATGCCAGCAATTAGGGCTCGTACTACTGCACTCAAATGGAAGCTTTACACATAGTAATAGTGTGTCCTCCATTTTAGTCTGCTCGGGGAATGTACAGGTATTGTAAATAAAAGCAGAGCTCTCTCACCTCACTGCAACACTGGTATGATTTTCTGCTCGGTTCTGACTTTTCTGTTTTGCCTTGTATGCATAGTGTCTGTTTGTCTGGGTGGGTTTCCTCCATTTTCCCCTATCAGCCTAAAGCATTTACGGGTTATTCCCCCAGCGAGGTGTCCCAACCAAATCTTAATCGAGATCTGGCGATCCCCAGTGCTAAATGTGGCCGCCCACTCTGACACGTACAACAAAGTTTTATATACGGACAATAAATAATACCTCATCTATATGAAAGGTGCATTGTGTAACTTTTCTGGTGGAGGCCCCATGAGAAGCTTTTCTTCATGAAGATGTTATTGCTTTACCTGGAATGTTTTACAATATTAAATCTTCAAAGAGACCAAACCAGACCAAGTTATAGCTCAGCTCTGTGGAAAGGCAACCTCACTCACTGCCAGAATGCCTGTTTTTTTAGCTTTGAAGGTATTTTTTTTTAGCTAAGAAACCACCTGTGATTGAATAATGTGCGGTAGAGCTGTTTAATGACATATAGAAACAAGAAAATGATGGACGCCCAACCAAAAAGTTACATAGTGCACCTGTAATGTAATCGTATTGATTTGATTTTAGTACTACCATTTGCTGGTTCTAGTAAAAAAAAAATTGCAGCTTTTTACAGACCTATTTATTTAGAGCACGCTCTTACTATTGGGGCTCACATTCAATTTACAATTACGACTCTGTTTCACGAAATATAAATATATATATATATATATTTGAACCTGAAATGAGCTTTGTGATTTTATTGTGCAGTAGCAGTCAGCTCTACACTGCCCTTAAAATACATTTGGTGAAGCATTTTATTTTGTATCAGTGACTCCATTCATTCACATTCAAATGGGTTCTGCCATCTCTGTGTGCTTTTGTTATACCTGCTATTGTCATTTCCAGATGCATGATTTGATTGCACACAAAATATTCAACCTGGTGTTAAAATGAGTTCAACTGAGCAAGAGAGAGGCTCCTATAATCATACAGCTCAGTAGAAACAAAATACTGTAATCTTTTTAGGCTGTTACCACCATTGTGTTGGAATATAAAAGTAAAATCAAGCAAGCCAAGCATCTGTAGTGCCTAAAATCTGTATTGAAAAATGTGTCATTTTTATCAGAATATCACAAAAAATAATATGTTTCACAGTAATTCTATGGCATTGCTGTTTTTACATCAGCTTGTTTAACATGGAATGCTCCAATATTAAGAGATAGCAACACTGCCATAAGGCTAAAATAAAGATGATAGTTTAAGAACACAAAATGTCACAGTGATAATAATTAGTGTTATAACATTTTAAAACCAGGATTAAAGTTGGATATTACACAAAATGGATTCTTGTGAGCTTTAAGCCATGTTAGAACATTATTACCTCATAAAAAACATCCCCAGAGTCGTGTTCTTTCCATTCACACATTTGAGTTTCCTCTATTATTAGTCTGTCTACATCTCCAAAGATCAAAACACTCAGTTTAACCTTGTGATGTCATGTAGTGTTACTTTTCAAGTTAACAGCATCCTGTTACTTTTTGTTCAGATTGGAAATTCCAGTGCTGAAATCATCCAAATGATTCCAGTGAAGGTGTATGGAGTTTAAAAACACAGTGGAGCACTTCCTGTATTACCAAATGACATAACAAAATGGAAGTGTTGTGGAGTGTTCTCCGTACGAGAGAAGAATGCAGCCTAAATATACAGAGTTTGTGTGAATGAAAGAAACCACTGAGAAAACTACATTATAAATAGAGCAGAAAAAAGCACAATATAGGCCCTTTAAAAAAAGGAAAGGTTTCTGTCTCACCAGTGTTATTTGGATTAAATTTCAACATTTAAATAAATACATAAATAAATAAATAAATAAAACATAATAAAAGAGAAAACAACATGCAACTCAACTGTTCTAATGTTTTCCCCTTTTCATATAGTATTCAAAGTTGTGTTTTGAGTGATTCATGCATGGTTAATCTTTATTGTCCTGTATTCAAGCTGCTACTGCTCTGAAAATTGCCATTTTCATCGACCCCCATATGTGAGAAAACGATGATGGATTCAAAATACTTGTTAATAAGATTCTTTGTTATGCATAAAATCCCCCAAACAGCTCGTCCAGTGCTACATGTAAACTGATGAAAGCTGCAAATATTACTGTGTATGTTATTATCAGTATTTCTAAAATAGACATACCTTTTCTCCCCCTTGTACCACTCAAACGTGGGGACTGGCACAGCTGCAGCCTCACACCTGAGCACTCCCGTGCGCCCCAAACTCACCCCGTTACTCTTCATCTCGTGGATAGACGGGGCAACTGGGAGGGACAAAAACAAAGGAGGAGGTTAGACTTAGTACTAGGCCCGTCATGATAACACATTTTGAAGTGTGATATATTGCTGAAGAAAATATAAACAATAATACTGAAACTATTTCAGGTCACTGACACAACAGATCGAGAATATCACCCCAATTAGAACACATTTCTTTTGACTTCTCCATTACTTATGAAGAATTATTTTATTTTATTTTATACTATATAACACAATGTTTTGTTTGCCTTTTTATTCCTGTAAGCTCTGCTATTCTTGGAAATAGTTTAGTTTTTCATTTTTCCTTTAACTTTTTCTTTCTATCTTTAAATAGTGAAAACACCTTTAAGGGACATCGATTGAGTAATACATTATAGATACTAAATTTGAACTTGAAGAAATCTGTCTGTAAAATAATAAATGGAGAAAAAAGTGAAAAAAAAAAAAAAATTCTAAATCTGCAATATTGTTAAAAATCAAAGCTGCAATAAATAAACAGCAGAATGAAACACAATACATCACATCTGTAATGAGTCAAAGAAGTAATTTTTCCAACCGTTTACAGATTACATTTTTATCAAAAAGTCAAAATAAAAAAATAAATATTTATCCCAAATTTAAAAAAATAAATAAATAATGCTCCAGCTTCATATATTGAGAGAGAAGGCAATATAGTAAGTATTGACAGGCGTATCTAGTAGGTTTACATGCAGCTCTATACTAGCATTACAACTGTATTAAGTCCAAATTACACAGCAGACTGAGACCTGGGGAGAGAAAAAGGCATCCATCCCTAAAGTTTGAGAAATGAATTAAATTTCGAGGCCCAGTGATAAATGGCTTAATGGAAGTTCAAAGAGCCAATGGGGGAGGCAGGTTTGTGTGAATGCAAAATGAAGCTCTTTCATGTGCTCAAATGTGGAGTAAATGTGTCTTAAAGCAGTCCTTTCATACTTCAGTGTTTACCGTGCCCACAGTTACATACGGTGCCTCCGAGGAAATGACTGTACTTATGATGTTGCTGAGACGTTCAAATGCCTGCACTTTGTAAATTGATGAGTTTGTGTTTAAGTAGCTTTTCTCATTCTGAAAGCAAAAAGAAGGGAAAATATTACACTACATAGAACAAAGCTGGTACATGCATGCAAACACGCTTTTACGGTGAAAATAAACAACTTAACCAGGCTAAAAATGTAATCCATAAAGGTGCACGTTGTAAATTTAGGTTGTTTCCATGAAGATGTTATTGCTTTGCCTGTAATGTTTCACTGCGCAGCATTAAACTTTTCTATCTAGCATTTATTCATTTGCTGTTTCGCTCAAAAAGACATTGAAAAACAGGCATTCAGTGCTGCCAGTCTTCCCCATCGACCGCTTCAACCACCGTCAATCACTCACAAACCACACTCATACTAGGCAATGTGGGAGAAGTGTCTTGCTGGAGGGCACAACAATATTGTATCGGCTGTGACACCTGGTATTCCGTGCAGTCTGCCATCCAAGTCCTAACCAGGCCCAACGCTGCTTATCTTATGAGATCAGACAAGAGCACTGACAAGGTGGTGTGGCCATGTTATGTTATGTTCCTGGGACTGGCTCATTCAAAATATTCTATTCTTTCCAAAATATCCCATCTCTTGAAAGGTCAAAAGTACTCAAAGTGGCGCCTATAACAGGAAGCTGAAACTCATGAATAGCAAAGACTGGGGATAGAGCATATAGAGTCTAACCTATGTGAATGAAAACTGGAAATAAGCATAATACTCCATGTTCAACTCAGCAATAACATTGAGGAAGGCTGATGATAAAAGCGTCTGGTGAAGGTGAAAAACAACATGAGCGTTGTATGATCGTGAAGGAGAGCCATTCTGGGATGATGGATGCCCGTCTACCTGCCTCCTCATGCATTTTAATAAGAGCATTTGTGTTACTTTAGCATATTATTTTCCATATATATAAATATTCCAATTAAATATATTTTCCCCCTGTGTTATTGTACTTTGCTGACTAATTTAAAGGACTCGAGAAAGTGACTCAAGCTATGGGTTATGAAGGGGCTGTGTGCATCCATTCATCACGGTGTAGTGCTGGGTGCCACGCTGAGGGGGTTGTAGCAGACCTTGACTGTCTGTCGGAGCGTGCTGTTGGTGTGAATGGCCTATGGCGCTTTTGAAATATCAGCACTCAAAGCAGAAGCATCAAAAGAGGGGCGTAGACAAGTTTTTAGAAGGGGGGGCGCTATTGTCCATATGTCATTTTTCATTTATATCCATTATATCAGTGATCTTAGTGCAGGGGTGTCCAAACTTTTTTCATCAAGGGCCACATATCTAAACACAGACGAAGCAGAGGGCTGATCAAGGGCCACAGGCTGGTGATCAATGCAGTGAATAATTGAAATATGTGCATGTTTAACACATTAGAAGGAGCCATCAGTCTTTATTCATGCTAAGATCCTTAAAACCACACACTAAATATTCAATATTAGCCTTATCAAAGTAGATAAAAAAAACAAAAAAAACAAAAAAACAAACAAAACCTGCAGTAAAAAGTTAATGATACCATGAAATTTGGGCCAATTCACCTGCAAGCCTGAGGGCCAAGAAAAATTTGTCTGAGGGCCGCATTTGGCCCATGGTCCATAGTTTAAACATGCCTGTCTTAGTATAACTGCTTGTCTTGTTTTTTTAAGTCATAACTAAAACTCCACTGGACACCTTTATTTTTAAGTGACTATGACAGGTTTGACTACTCATCATCTCAGTAAAGTTAACATGACCTTCATCAACTGTGGGAGCAAGAATCGCACCGCCAACCTGTGGGTCAGAGGATAGGACTCAACCAATGATGTTGATGTCAAGAGCTGAATCTGAACCACCAACCTTCGAAGGAGTTCACAAACACTCTACCAATTGAGCTACTGTCTTGACTACTAATAGTTTTTTTCTTTTTTTAATTTGGGAGAAGTTACTTTTTGGTTGGACATTTGTGCAGATATCACATACGTAGAAATTATTTCATAACTGTTAACTAGCCACCATAACATAGCTAAAGTGCACAATAGTTATAGTTAGACAAATAAAAGTACATATTTATTTTGTTGAATAAGGGTTTAAACTGTGAGAAATGTGTTGTTGTCCCTGCATTTTGGATGGAATTTTCAGTGTTAATGACAAATTAGAGGTATTCCGTTTTAGAGCTCACCGCTACTTCCTGCACTTTTGTACTTTTCTTCTCAACTTTCTCCCACAAACTGCCACTTAACTTGTGTAAACCTATGATAAATATCAAATACAGACACCATCCTATCAAACCAAGTAATAATTAGCAAAAATAAAAACCTGTCATATGCACTAAAATCTTCCATTTTCTGACAAACTTCACAGTTCTCTTCTGCTGTGATTACATCGATTTTTGTCGCTAAGGTAAAATAATTAAATGTTTGGCTTACAAAAGAGCTTTATTGTCCAGACTGAATAGAACAATTTGATTTGTATTGAATCGTACACTTACACCCCCCTGCGCCCTAGACTGCAGTGAATACAACGCCTCTTGATCAAAACTCCATTGTTCTCTGCATATCACTATTATAGAAAACCCACACAAAACAAGACAGCTTCAAAAATGAACAGGAACACAGCAAAGTTGCTAATGAGAGGTACAACATCTGTGCCTGGCATACTGTATCAATGAGATGAGAAGTGCAATCCCAGAAGAAAATGACGGAAATGTTAAGAGTGCTCTGAAGCAAAAACATAATAACAAAGTATGAAATCGATGGGCTGTGGCGACTGACAGCAGCTCTGTGAATCCTTCTAATCCTCCATCGGTGTCATTGTGTGGTCGCATTGATTATCTGGAGCTTGTGACCCAGGCTGACGCGAGCTACAGTCACCAGGACAGTCTACACGGCGGCTGGGGCAGGTGCGTCGATATCCAACATCTTCACTGTATATTCAAAGTCAAGAACACAAATCAGCACAGTGAAAAACTTCTCGAGTGATAAGTTTGATTTGTTCCCTTATTATCCGACAGCCGCTTGACAAACTGCCAAAGGAGAACAGCGTGTTTTCTTCGCTAGACTTAAAGGATTTACAATTTAGCAAAAGAAATGCTCCTTTATTTGAAGTTTAGCGGTTGGCAAAACAAAGTGAGAAGATTAATGGCTATTTTGTGGTATGTTTGAAAAAATATGTATAGAATGTGGAAGAAGAAAGTTGTAATGTTCAATTGAATTCAAGTCTATATTTTGGTTCAGCTTTTGCTTTCCTGGCATATTGACCTGGTCGACTTACATCTGATCAAATGCAGCCTTCTTCAGTTTTCTGTGCTAGGTGTGTGCTATTGTAACCTCACAATCCCATGCTTGGATTCAAGTTCATTTTCCAAAAATAAGTAGTTTTAAAATAAGAACATGTCCCTGTGTTTTCGTGGGTGGGCCTGAATGCTCTGATTTTATATGCATATCAATAATATCAAGTCTTTCCAATTTAAAGCTTGGCACGAACTACTGTTAAGACAGATTATAGCCATAAAATCTGGCCCAATCCAATAATTCCAATTTCTACTGGCTGACACACTCTATATCATCATATATTGTGCAATACACCTCCAGGATTTGGAAGTAATGCAAAGTAGTGCACTAAAAGCATGAAAGCCCAATAATCCAGGTAATTTAGTGTCTTGGGAATGCCGGGGTGGTGCTTTAAATCATGCCTGTCGTCATGGTGACTCCAGCAGATGCGGGTGAGGGGTTGGGTCCAGGAATAGCGCAGGCATGGCAGAAAAATGGGTGCTGCAGGGCCCCGCTGGGTGACAAATGGCCAATTGAGGGTCGATCACAAACGGACTGCCAGTATATCTGCATTACATGAAGGATGTCAGAGAAACATGGACGCTTCTTTAATTGAACACTAGAACGGCCCCATAAAAGCAGTGTGTTAATGGTGTGTACAGTGCATGACCTGCTCCTTATGTAATATTAAAGCTAAGAAATACACCTTAA